ACAGATCTGAAGAGGCCGAGAATATTGGATATGTCATTCCTACTACAGTTGTGTCTCATTTTCTGGATGACTATGAGAGGAACGGGAAGTATACAGGTGAGAATCTCTTCCCAACTTTCATCTGTGTGAAGGGAACTTAGTTGTATATGCATATTTTTCTTGCACTATCCACACACCTCTTGTCTTGGAGTTAGAAGGTATAGACCATGGCAATGTGCCAAGATTTATGTAACTAAAGCAATTGATTGTGGATACCATTTCAACTTGTCTGTGTAGTACCCGCTGCTTTCTTCAGCAGCAAAGTAGTATTAGTGCTATATTTTTTTCAGTTAATATCACCTCAATGCTTTTTGACTTCCAGGTTTCCCTTGCCTGGGTGTATTGTTGCAAAAGTTGGAGAATCCAGCATTACGGGCGTGTTTAAAAGTAGAGTCTATTGAGGTAATCTCTCTGTCTGGTTAAGTGTTTCCTGGATCAGCTGATGTATCTGTGTCAGAAAAAACATTGCAAAGCTTTCATCTTGTTAAAATTGTTTCTTGCATAAGAAATGTAAGAGTAGAAGATATGAAGTGGCAGTGAAGAGTGCAGGAATTTACTTATGTAGAAATTATAATATAATATCAGGCCACGTTTTTGTGTTATTATAATGTTAGCTTTGTATCTGTTAATCAGTTAATTTTGCTTAGGCTTGTACTCATCACATCTGGCTTGCGCAGGGTGTACTGGTACGAAGAGTTGAACCCACTTCTGATGCACATAATGTATTAAAGGAGGTATGCTGGCTGTTTGAATCTTGAGTGATTGCTGTACTCGAGTTGTATATATACTTGTTAAACAGTCATCAAAGGAAACCTTTAAATCAAATTTTTGGTGCTTCTCAAGCTATCAGCTTATGAGATGATCAGATGTTAGCAGTGTTACATGTTTAAATATCTTCAAGATATGATGAAAGAATAGTGAAAATGTGAAGTGGCAAACTATTAGAATTGGAAATAAAGTAATTGTATGGGAAAGGTTGCTAAGTTAGTTTTGGAGAGTGAAAAGGTAATCATGAATGGGGCATTTAGAGTCAACTTAGAATATATTATGGTCCATAATCAAATTTGTAGAATCTGTCCTCATGTTTCCCTTTATCTTGGGATTTAAAGCGTATTGAAATTTTGATTTTTTTTATTTGCTAATAACTTTGATAGTACTTGTGCTTTTCCAGGGGGACGTGATTGTAAGCTTTGATGATGTTCATGTAGGGTGTGAAGGAACAGTACCTTTCCGATCAAATGAGCGCATTGCATTCCGCTACCTCATTAGCCAAAAGTAAATCCCTGGTTCTAAGACAAAGAAAT